TCTTTCCCCTACACTGAAGCCTCCCAGAGCAAGACTGGCATTGACCATCCTTGCTCTTGGCCTCTGCTTATGTGCAAGATCCAACAACCACAACCCAAATCACTCCCCACCACCTTCCCATGATGGAGGCAACAGAACCCAAATCACTCCCCACCACCTTCCCATGATGGAGGCAACACAACCCAAATCACTCCCCACCACCTTCCCATGATGGAGGCAACACAACCTAAATCACTCCCCACCACCTTCCCATGATGGAGGCAACACAACCCAAGTCACTCCCCACAACCTTCCCATGATGGAGGCAACACAACCCAACTACTGGGACCCACCGTGACAAAACCCTGCCTTGCCTTGGCCTTGCTCAGCTGTAATTGGGCTCCCCTGACTCCAAGAGACATCAGATGGATGTTGACATGTCCAAGCTCTCTCACTGCCAGCTCAAGCTTTGCATTCCCAGCCCATGGGGGTTTCATTTGAGGGTCTCCTCCCCGCCAACACCTCCCCACTGCTGACCCTTTGAAACACCCCAGTGCTGAGAGTCAAGCCCCCTTTCCCCAGAACCTTTGTCAATGCAGAGCGTCCCCATCCAACCTCATCACTGCTCAACAGCACCACAGCAGCCCTGAGCTCTGCAGCGGGTTCAGCACCTAGGTGCCCAAGCCCCGTGGGTGAACACACACCAGAATGGGCTCAAACCCTTTCCTGAGCTCCCACCAACTCCTCCAATTTCAATCCTAATCCTGTTATTCCCACATGACGCCCACTCCTACTGATCCCACCTGCTCCACCACTTTGCCTGGTGTTGATCCCCTTCCAACATTTCGGAGGAGATACCATATGCTCCCTTCAGCAATTACCTGCCAAGTTGGAGGAGAATGCTTCTATTTAGTCTCACTTGTTGGGCAACGGGAACTGTTCTGTCGAAACATTTTCCATCCCAAATTATTCTGCCCTTTTTTGCACCAGGATCTGCTCTGCTCTGACTTAACTCCATGTATTTCCCATGCCCAGGTGCTGCCCTGAGTCTACCTGTGGATAAACACCTGTACATTCATATCAAGTCCATATCAAACAAACAAGATATAATAGAATTGTAGAATCATAGAATCAACCAGGTTGGAAAAGACCTTTAAGACCACCAAGTCCAACCTTTACCCCAGGACTGCATATAGCCTGCAACTACCCATAAAAGACTTAAAAGGGACAGGATTTGTATTTCTAAGCAGAAAATCGTGGCATGTAGGCAGTTGTAACCACAGCCGGGGAGGGGAAAGCATTTTCTACGCCATAGAAGAAACCCTGCCTTTAAAACACACAGTTATTAATTTTCATCAGTGATGAAAAGAAGAAGAAACAGCGTTTTTGGAAAGAAGCTGCCAAACACCCAGCAGAATTCAGCGTTTTTCCTGCAAGAAACATGTGAGGATGAAGCTATAAACATGAAACCGGCTTTGAAAAACTCTCACTTCTAAGAAATCATTTTCTACAAAATAGCTGTTTGCCACTAAGAGAGAAAGATTTAAAGCCCAACTATGAACCCCTTTGATGAAATATGCCTGAACCAGTCCTCATTAGCTGTATCTTAATGTTTCCAAGCTCCGTGCTGGGGCTGAGAAGCATTAATGTGGGTTAAACACTTGCTGCAAGCATAAGGAAGAGGAAGGTCTCACAGGACCCAGAAGCATAAGACTGTCTGGTTCTGGGTGCATTCAGCTAAAATGAACATCCCTGAAGCAGAGCAGAGCCCCAAAGGCTCTGCAGCAGACCCCGGCCATCGCCCTGATTCTGGAGAGGTACACCCCAGGCTGTGAACACCCACAAAGACATGTCCCAGCCATGGTTTTGCCAATTCTTGCAGTTTTAGCACCACTTTGAATGGCTTCTTCCAGTAGCACTTCCTGCAGGCACAGGGCTGAACCCTGGTGCAGCTCTTGCTGCTGTTTCATTAAGCCTGTTTCTTGTAATCACCCATCAGTGGGGTGAAAAATAACCCTGAAAACCCTTTGACAGTACCTGAAGGGGGCTACAAGGATGCTGGAGATGGGACTCTTCATCAGGTAGTGGAGTGATAGGACAAGGGGTGACGGGTTCAAACTGAAACAGGGGAAGTTCAGGTTGGAGATAAGGCAGAAGCTGTTCCCTGTGAGGGTGCTGACGTGCTGGCACAGGGTGCCCAGAGGAGCTGTGGCTGCCCCATCCCTGGCAGTGTTCAAGGCCAGGTTGGACACAGGGGCTTGGAGCAACCTGCTCTAGTGGAAGGTGTCCCTGCCCGTGGCAGGGGGTTGGAACTGAATGATCTTAAGGTTCTTTCCAACCCAACCCATTCCATGATTCTACAGCTGGCTCAAATGACAGAAAAACTTAAACTAAACTGCAGTGACTCAGGGTTTGGGTCAAACCTTACAATTTTTAAACTGAGATTGCGATGTTGGGAAGCCCAACCACAGCCCTTCACTCAATCTCTAATCCCACTTCTCAGAGGACCAGTGCCTGTAAATCCATTTCTCAATGCATCCAGGTTGACGACAGAGCAAAATCTCCTTGAGGACTGCATTTTAAAACACATCCATATATATTACGGTACACAGCACTGTGTTTCCAAACAAATCCCAAGCTGCTCTTTTCATGGAAGGATTAGAGCAGCGTTAATTAAATTGGGGATTATTTCCGCATCAAGCTGGCTGCAGAGCGTTGTATGTTGCAGATTGCACAGCTTTCTATTTCTGGGTTTGGCTTTCCATGGCTTCGCCTGGGCTTTCTGCTC